GCCGCGCACGCCGTGGATGGTGGCGTTGAACTGGATGGTGCCGACGACGGCGACGGTCTTGCCCGAGGCGAAGTTGCGCTCGAGCGAGGCCAAGAGGTGGGAGGTGTCGATGCTGATGTCGACAAAGACGTAGAGGGTCTTGATCTTTGTCACGTCGACGGGGATGAGGCAGCTGTGGGCGTAGTGGACGAGGAGGTCGCAGCCCATGGCGCGGGCGGTGTAGTCGTCGATGCAGCAGGCGCCGTAGGTGACGTCGCCCATGATGAGGGTCTCGATGCCGGGGCAGAACTCGGTGAGGATGTCGGAGATGGTGGTGGCGAAGAGGAGGAGACCCTCGGGCATCTGCAGAGCGACCTTCTTGGCGCCCGAGGAGCGGATGCGATGGATGGTTTTGGGAATCTCGAAGCTGTAGTTGGAGGGGAGGATAGAGATGGCGGACTTGAGTGCCGGATCATTGAGAATCTCAGGGGGTACTTGGTTCAGGAGACGCGGGCCTCTTCTAGGTTGTGCGACTATGAGAGGTGAGAATGAGAATGATTATGCTGTTGCTTCTCATATGAGGCGTCGTGCGTGCTCACCTTGGATGGACTTGCTGTCCTCGATAGACCCGTTGGGGCTTCCATTCTTGGCCGCAGTCTCGGCTGCTGTTCTCCTTCCGACGAAGCGCTTCTTTGGTTGCTTCAAGACTGGCTGAGCCGCAGCCTCCTCCTGGCGATGAGCCTCTTCAATATCGGCGGCGATGCCCAAGTCGGTTTGCGCCCGATCTTCCTCCATGGCTGAGACACTTATTCTGCTTCGGCTTGCACTTCAAGTAGGGGTCCGCTTTACAGCAAATTTGATATTTTTGTGACAGGGGGCTCTCATATGAAGCCAAAAATCATCAGACAAGACGCAGGCTACTTTTAGTACAGGGCTGTCTGTCGTACCGTGAGTAAGTGAGTCTCGTTGAATTTGCCCCGCGATCTGGTGCTGTTGCCCCGCGAAAAATTCAGTTAGAAGAATGATACGATAAGATGGTGGGCTAAAAGGGTACATGCAGGTAGTGAGGTGGCCAAACGTCCTCACGCCTATTGGCTATAGCTCACATGTGGATTCTCACTGGCTTTCAGTGAGCTCATAAGTCTTGAGAACTCTGAGAACTCATTTGAGAACTCATTCTCACATTATGAAACCATTCCACCAGCTAGATATTTCATTTTAGTTCTCATGACTAATCGGTGTTGCGAAAGGTATGTCTGGGTCCAGTCTTTCTCAACTACCTCAAGCAACAGAGGCATATATACATGCCTCGCAGAGCGTTTCGAGGTGTTCAAAGAAAATGGAAATCATTATTCGAAGAGTTCATTGTCCTCGTACGAAAGAAAAGGTATGTTTTCGAAAGTGTCTCTCCACCAATGTCGAATCAACAGCGAAGAGTGTATCAGATCAACAAACATGAAAATGACGGGAGATATCTTGAATATTGCAGCATCCTTGCCTTACCTTACCCCGCTGCATCCCACCATCAGATAAGGTAAGCGGTAGCAGGCCCACCCGTCGACGCAACGAATGATGCCTCCTCTCCCACTCCCGTCCGACGTCCAACCCATCCAAGAAACCATTATAGCTTGCATGAAAGATCGCCAACCTTTCACACCCTACAGTCCTCACGAAAAATCATCCGAACGGCTTCATCTGCTCTGCCACGTGGCCAGCATACTTTCTCCCTCCCTCTCTCCAAGATCAGTCCACACAACCAACCCCTACCCAGGGTTCCCGCGCCTACATTGCATAAGTTTCTCATCCAAATCCAAACATATCCCTCCCCCAAAAGGTTCCATCTCACCGTATCTTCAACAATATGGCGATCGCGGTATGGCTGCCCAACACACCCCCCAAAAAAAGACCACGTGTCTCTGCAGATGACTTACTGATGCGGTCCCCTCTTCCTTTCGGCGTGAACAGGCTGTCGGTCAAATCTGTTCCACGGCCTCTCTGTCCCACAACCTAGAGCAGTGCGTGAGGCTCGTCGCCAAGGCCGCTGTCGGTGGTGCCAAAGTACGTCCCATCTGTCCGTAACAAAGGGGGCGTCGATATCAAAACACTCGTCTTGTTCCTTTCCTCTCTCTCACCGCAATCCCATCCTGCTGCACATGAGACCTGCAATGCAAATGCAGCCTGAAGCACAAAAATGGCTTCATGTCTGCCTCCTGCCCACCCCCACAGCAACACCACCAACACCAACAGGCGCCGCTCACTGTATTCTTCCTAGGTCCTCTTCCTCCCCGAAGCCGCAGATTACATCGCCTCAAGCCCGCAAGAATCCCTCTCCCTAGCTCAACCGCAGTCCCAGTCCCCCTTCGTCCTCGGCCTCCAGGAAGCAGCAAAAACCCACTCCGTCGCCGTGAACGTCGGCATCCACGTCCCCACAACAGACGCCCAGAAGCCGGCCGTAGCCGTAGACGCCACCACTACCACTCCAAAGCTCCTCAACCGTAGCCTCTGGATCAACGCAGACGGCACCATATTCCAAGCCGCAACCTACGACAAGCTCCACCTCTTCGACTACGGCGCCCTCCGAGAAAGCGCAACAGTCCAAGCCGGCCCCTCCCTCACGGCCCCATTCCCCACCCCGGTCGGCCGCGCCGGCAGCCTCATCTGTTTCGACCTCCGCTTCCCCGAACCGGCCCTCGCCCTGACGCACCCGGGACCCAAGAGCCCCTTCCTCCCTGACAACAACGGCGGCCACGGCCCCGCCCAGATCCTCCTCTACCCTTCCGCCTTCACCATCCGGACGGGCCAGGCGCACTGGGAGACCCTCCTCCGGGCCCGCGCCATCGAGACGCAGAGCTGGGTCGTCGCCGCGGCGCAGGTGGGCGCGCACAATCCGAAGCGGAGCAGCTACGGCCACAGCATGGTCGTTGATCCCTGGGGCCGGGTCAAGCTGGAGCTGGGCGGCGTGGACGCCGATGGCAGGGCCGAGGAGGGCGCCGAGGGGGCCATTGGCTTTGTCGATGTGGATTTGGACGAGTGGGCTAAAGTCAGGGAGGGTATGCCGTTGGCTAGACGGACGTGAGTTGTGTTTCTTCCCTATCCTTTCCTTTCTCTCTCTTTCTCGTCATCTTCCCCCCCCCCTCGCCTCCTTCTTACTCACACCGACCTCCATCTCTTACACGCCCACTTGAGGCTCAAAGTTTTCTCCATGTGAATAACACACCCCTTCCCCCTAACCCCTCCCCTGGAGGTGCTGTCATTTTTTCTCTCTGGGCAATGAGCATTCCCGTCCCCCCCCCGTCACCTAGGATGCCGGGCCCCTCTCCCATCGTGTACCAGCGGGATGGTTTAGCTGATGACCTGAGAGCAGCGATGTGTACCCTGAATTCTGAAGGTCCTCCTTGAGGGTGGGCGTGTGAGCTGTCACATTCCCGGAAAGCAGGGTCAAAGCTGGGATCGCAGGTGTATCCGTAGAGTTACTCGTACTCCGTACATACGGAGTACGCAGTACAGATAAAGGTATTACAGTACAGACCGGTATGGAGAGGGCCGCGGGTCTCGGGAGAAGGGAGGGGGAGTCTAGCAAGCCTCGCCGCCGGGGAGAGGCGGGAGGGAGAGAAGAAGAAGCACGGGTGACCGGTACGGGCGAGTCGAGACGAGCCCTGAGTCCCTGACTGTCGGTAACACCGCAGTGCAGGTCCTTGAGGGCTTGAGGCTCTTTGTGGGAAAGGAATGCTGCAGGGATGAGCGTCCCAACCACTCGGCGCGTCTGTGGATATTCTAGAAGGGTAGCCGCAATGTTCCATAGATTGGGGGCGCCGCCGGTCGAAATGATCAATAGAGATTAGTGTGTAGAAAAATTCAAAAAAGAGGTCCTGGGCTGTATGGGAGTATCCGTACGCACTTTGGCACGAGAGACCGCAAAGGTTACCTTGACCTCCACAAGCAAGACAGGGCCCGTGTTTCGCAGGGTAGAAAGATGAGAAGAAAGAGAGAGAATGACAAACCCACCCCGGTGAGACCCTCACCGAGACAACAATCTCCCTTGGGAGATATGATATTCTGAATCGATATGGGCCCCGGTTCCAGCGAAACAGTCAACCTACGGCAGAGGCTAGACCGGGTCCCTTGACGGGCTGGGAGGATCGGTTGCATGCCACCGGCAGTTGGCAGACCGAAAGGCCCAATTTCCCAAGAATCCAAACGCCCATGTTCCCCGGTGACCCGGTGAGTCAACATCCCAGGATGAATTGTGTTTCCCTGTATCTGTACGGAGAGTACAGAGTATCCGTACACTACGGTCGGTACTGTGGTATTCTGGACTCTCGGCCTTTCCAGCGGGGTTTGCCCACATTGCCAATACCCTTAGCTCACCGGGGGAAGAAGGGGAAGGACGAGCCGTCGGCGGCTTGAGTTGGATCCGTCCCAGCCCTTTGCATTTTTGTAGCATTTAACTCCTCGGCGATGGGGGCGAGAACCCCGTCCGGGTAGCGTACTCCGGATTGCCTATGAGTAGCGTACGGATACACACTAGAGCCAAGGAACAAGAGAAGACCCAACGGTTTTTGGGACTGGGGGTTGGTGTGTCTGTCGGTGTGCCTGCCCGCTCCCCATTTCCTGGTGCTGCACTGGTGATCCAGGCCTGGCTTTGTTCGTGTCGTAACTGCTGCGCATGGGTAGTTTCGGTCAAGAAACTCAGGGGTGATGGGTAGACTGTGAAAGTGAGCAATGAGCATTCTCCTCGCGCCGGAGCTGGACCCGTGGTTTGGGTTAATTTTGCCCGGGCACGCGATTTGGGCCCATTGGACGTTAGCAAGGGTTACTGTGTCGGCCCCACGAGAGCGAGAGAGAGAAGGTGAAGAAGGAAAAAGAGGGACGCGCTAGAAGGAAAATCTGAAATTCGAAATAACGTGGTAAAATTAAGAAAGGCAGGAAACGAGATCCGCCTGCTTCAGTTATCCTTAGCTGCCCGGGGGGGGGAGGGAACTTGGGAGGGCGTCAGGGCGTATCCGGACGGCGTAGGTACCTCAGTACGTGGCTCCGTTGGGTTCGTCCAAGTCACCGTGCCATTCCCTCCATGGGTATCCATGCGTGATCCATGCAAGATGGATACCGGTGGAGACGGAGCACACTGACGGCAATGTTTCCCACTGGATGAAGACTTGGTCAGGGATCCGATGACGGTTTGAGGGTGTGTGTTGAGTGAAGAAGGAAAAAGAGGGACCTTCTTCCTCCTTCTTTGCTTCTTCCATTTTCCTCCCCTGTCGGCAGCCCTTGGGGCCTTTCAAATAATGCCTCCGGGGATCCGGGGGCCATGCCCCGGCTACAGTGTCCGCATGGCTTGGTGGGGAGAGAGAAGAGAGGCGAGAGAAATGGCGATTTTTGGCAACGGCTGTCCGTTTGTTGCGGGGACCTTTTGTCGGCGGAGCCTCTCTGATCGGCTTCCTTGAACCTGGGAAGAAGTGAGCAAACCAGGAAAAAGGTCCCAAACCGCGGCCCCGGGAAATTTGGCAGTTTGAGATATGCAGAACCTTGCCACTCGTCTTGGCTCCCCGTGAGATTTTCTGCTTCTCCCGGAGCCCCGTCCCCCCCAAGGAGTCCCAGGCTTTGTGGTCAGGCGGTCTATCAAACAGGGCCAAGGCTTTCACTCACCGAATTGGACCCTCATCATCACGCCTTGCGTCCCCATCAAAAGGAACTTCTCGAAGGACAAGCCCTTGTAAGGATAGAAGGCATGGGGAAGAAATTTTTCCAGAGGTTGGGGACGACGCGCAGGGAAGCCGGGCACGGGGAAGGGAGTATATCGCACCGGTGAGGGAGTTGATGTCCCGGACAGCCTTGAGGCCTGGGCGGTGCAGAAACGGTTGCTGGAGAGAAAGTCGGGATGAAACGTTGGAAGGATGATCTCTGCTTGTCGAAATATCCTGACCCTCTTCACAAGACGGTACCTACCTCTGCCCTATCTCACTCACCTACCTCTCGGTGACGAAGGCAAAGGGGGCGGCGGGGTGGGGGTTTCGCTAACCAGTCGTCTCCAAAGACATCGCGGAGTCAAGTATCGGCGAGACAGAAGAAAGAGACGTAAGGGGACCCGACTACTCGGTCGAGACGTCGCATTTCCCGAAGGGCATGCATCGATATGCGCCCCCGCCCATCTGCGCCTCCTCGGCCCCCTCCCCCTTTCCCCCCGTTTCGCAAGGCGTAGACCAAAGCCAGACGTGGGATGTTGCACGCGTGGGATGTCCAAACCGAACCGAGCCGGGAAACTGGCACACTGGATGAGGCTCTTTTCTCCTTCCTGGGTTAGAGGGGGTGCAAAGAAGGGTGGTTCACGCTGTCTCATCTTGCTGGGCCGTTTCGTTCACGATGTGGCGTGTACTCAGTCGGGTGGTGGTGTGTCTGCCGCGTGATGATGAGGGCTCGGTGAGCTGAGGCGTGGCCCATGATATCCGGAATTGGGTATGAGGGGCCGCCGTCGTCGCTATCTCGTCTTGTTTCCTATGCAATTGCCATGCACTTCAAATTGGAAATCAGTTGCGCATACTCCGTACGGAGTACCCACGGCGGATTTGGATGCGCGGCAACGCAGCACAGCGCAAACACAGCCATTCTTCGGCTACGGCCGAGAAGCGTCGAGGAGACAAGCAAGTGGACGAGAATTTGTTGATGACTCGGCAGCTGGTAAACGGCTATTTTGTGCGCGCCGTACGGGTAGCACCGTAGTGATCCGTTTGGCCCGGGAGGCATATCCGGTACGTCGTAGAGATACCCATATTTGATAACCCGGGGAAGGGGGAAAGCTGCAGCAATGACAATGTAGCCCACCAAACCCGAGTTCGTGTGCCAAATTGCCGGTACGGACAAGGTGGTGTGTACTTTGTATCCGTAGAGGAGGTTTGCCTTCCGAATGTCATTGGTGTGTGTGTGTGGTTCAATCTCGCGCCTTGCAGATGGCCAATGAGAGACTGGGGGAATGGGATGAACTATCTCGTTGGTGGAAAACCAGACGCAGCATGGGCGTGTTTGCTGCATATGCGGGTGTATGTCTTTTGGTGGTTGTTGACATTGGGCCGTTGGACGCTATTTGATGGCTAGTTATTGACACATACAGTTGGTACTTGAATGACAGGATTGTTGGTTTGCGCCGACCCGTCAGTTGTCACAATGACGGCAAAGCCAACGTCCAACCAGCGCGATGGAGACATCTGGTGTGATGCCATGCCCCTTTTCGAGTAGTTCGAGGGGCGCAAACAACGCGGGTTGTCAATCTTGCGTTTGTACGCAAGACGTGGGTTGTTGACTCGTTGGTGATTGATGATGCAGGGGAAGCCAGCAGATAGACAATCCTCGAGTCAAAACAAGATCAATTTTGAAAATTTTGTTCGATGTGAAAGCCAAAAAAGGAGATCGACAGTTAGCCCCCCTTTTGAGTGTCTCACAAGAAAGAAGAAACAAAACGTTCCCCCTTCCTTCCCTGCATTGCAACTACCGGAATAGGTCGGCACCTTCTGCAGGCCGCGCAGTTTAGCCGCATGTTCTCTGCAACCCTCTCTTTCCGCGTCGGGTCGGAGCTGAGGTACTTCCCCAGGTAGGTAGGCTCCTCCTGCTCCTTCACCTTGCGAGTCAAGGTGTGAGTGTGTGGGGCCGTTCGTCCCTTTCCTCTCACCTGGACTTCACCGACCGCTCAGCTTTCTTTCGTCCGAAAAGAAAGTGGATACCCCACCGAGGAGCCCAAAAGGGACATAGCGCGGAGTTCGGTCAATGATAGGCCCGTTTCATCCTCCCTCCGGCCCACCGCGGGCCACTCCCGAACAGCAGCAAAAAGGGAAAGAGAGGGAAAAAAAAAAGAAGGTCCCAGCGCTTTGGTTCCCGGGACGCCGCCGCTGCATTAGCGCCGTGCGAACACACACCCCCCCCCGGCCGATACCTTACAGAGAGCTACAAACGGAAACGCAGTCAGCTCTCACACGCTCCCAAACAGCCTGAACTCACACCACCCCCTTTTTCTTCTTTTCGCTCTAGGGTTTCCACATTTCTTTGGTCTTGACGTTCCCCGGGGCAGGCACGGCACGGCAGGGTGGTGTAAGTGTGTGTGTCTGTTCCTGAAATTTCCCCTATTTCATCTTCCAACAATTTGTTGTAATTTTAGTTCATCAAACCCAAAATTTTAGCACCTTGCCTGATTGCGCAATGGGTTGACCACATCATACGGAGCTGCTGTATTTCGGAACTTCCTATCACTTTTGGCACTTGCGCGTCGTCGCGCAGCGCTTCAGCCAAGGCGCGTGTTCGTCCTCCTCCAAACGCGATTGTTCCTGAAGTAAACCCGTCCCAACGTGTCGCCTCCCCGTGCCACGCGTGACTACAGGATAATGTAATAATGTATGGTGTTTCCAATAATACAGACGTATCCGTAAATACTACGTACATCACACAGCGTCGGACCAGTTCAACGTTACAGAACTGAGCGCATCCGGGAACCATCGTCTCGGGGTCGTTGTGTATGCTCTCGTATACGGTATCTTCCCTACGAATACACTCCCAGTATATTGGTTGGACGACGTACGCGATGCGACAATGATGGCAACCAAGCTACCAGGCAACCTCTATCAGCTGTCACACACCTGGGCACCGGGGCTCCTTTTCGGATGTCCCAAGTGCCAATCTACTACTGCACGCACTTTCGCATCGTACCCAATAAACAAATTCCCATTCCATTCATTCATTCATTCACTCACCCAACCCTTTTCAGCTCTCGCGGCTCTCTTCCAGTCTCGGCACATCGAAATCTCGGGGAACCCTACGGCAGTGCTTCCACAACGTCGCATCCGTATGTTGAACTAGCGATGCCCGCAGAGGACGGTAGTGTCACGATAGCGTCATTGTTGATTTGCCCATACACTACACCCCCCCCCCCCCTTCTTCTCGAATCTCTTCAGGCTCCTATTCCCAGTTCTCTCTCTCCCGCGCCCCGGCCCGTACGCAGCCCGGCTCGTAAAACCCATCTTCCGCGTGAGACCGGAGGAAAGTCTAGAAAGTCTACTCCGTAGAAAAGACAGGGCATCACTCGAGAGTCGTAGTCTCCTAGGCTACACAGTACAAAGCCCGCCCCCAAGATAGGTTTTTTTTAGCAGAAAATCAAAAAAACTCCAACGTCACATCCGAACATGCAAAAGGTCTTGGCAAAGAAAGTGGCAGCACTATTTCCACATGGCCAACATCCCATACAGACCATAAAGAAAACTTACACGGCACCATCCATGCCATCCGAACGAACCCTTTATCCAAACTCTTTCGCGCCAGACTACGCATCCCAGTACGAGTAACCAACTTGCTTTTCGTCGCTTCCTTGAATACTGAATGAATCCTTCACCTGGAAAATTTTTTTTTTTTTTCAGATTTTTTTTCTACTTATCTGATTGATCATCACCTTGTTCATATTACACCCATGTTCGATCCGTCTTCCCCGGCTGCACGCGCACACGCCCGTAACGCACCGCCATGCAAACCACGATCTACGACACAGCTCAAGAAAAGAAAAGCAATGTGGACTGTATCACCACCATCGCCCGTTTTTCTTTTTCTTCTTTTTTTCTTCTTGTCTTTTTTGCTTTGCCTAGCTTGCCATAGTCCGAAAAGACGACTGCTCAAAAAACAAATCACACACCACCACCACTATCATGACCCCCTTGCCTCCCCTCGCTCCTCCTCTCAAAAAAATCAAAAGTCATCCTCGTCTTGTCTCTCGCCATGGTTTATCCCCCGCTAAATCGATTGACGCTGCAGCGCATAAGCGCCCGGCCGGTTCCCCTCTCTCCCTCGACTAGTTCCGCGTTCCTCAAAGGTCTCTGATCAGACAAAAAGGGGGGGGGGGGAACACTAGTACCCAAGGTATCCGTACCCAGACACGCCAGAGGAAGACCAGTCTGTCGTAGGTGTGTGGCGGCAGAAAATGGCAGAGGTAGCCGTCACGGAGCAGGCTCCTTTGCTTTCAAAAAGTCTCATTCGACTCGTCCTGTTCGAGTCGCCGGCAGGCACAACACAACGCACGCGCATACATACATACATATATACCTACCATACATACACACAACGTGTCGTCGGCACGCGTCCGCGTCCCCCGTCGATCATGTAAGTCGTCGTAGTTCGCATGCCCCCGTGATGTGTCGTGCCGCTGCTGCTACCTCATGCGTCTTTGCCCAATTCGTTGTCACGCCCATATAGGCATATGATACCAGTCGGTGGTGACCGAATCACCAACTTTTGACTGAGACCCTTCCTTCGTCTTGGCCGAGCACCCGAGGGGGAGGTGTCTAGGTCTAAAGTGAGAATTCTTTCCTCAAGCATGACGATGGGCGGATGGGCGAGAGTCGTCGCATTCCCCCTTGGCCTAGAACCCCTCTCCCGCATCCCGCATCCCGCATCCGCATCCCGCATCCGAACCCCCCGGCCCCCCGATCTTGTGTGGCTCTCCCCCCTCTCCATTCCCCTCCCCTATAACACTATCCGATCCTCTACTTTGGGTATTCTAGATACTCTACCGTGACTACCTACACCAGACTAAAACCGAACCGCTCTCTCCCTTCCCTCCCGGATAGACGTCCCGTTGTGTGGGTGACTAGCTCTCTCCCTTTGCCCCCTTACGGCACACCAAGTTGGGGGGAGCCCCCCTGCGATGGGGGAAAACCCTCAGCTACCTATCCTTTAGCTTTCTTTTTGCCATGTCTCGCCGTCCATCGCCTATCCCGAATTCTCCTCTTCTTCCTGAACTGAACTGAATTACTCGAGCATCTCACAGAAGTTCTCGAGTCGAGTCGAATGTGTCGAGCCGCATGACATGGCATAGCATAGCATGAGCTTCGAGAGCAACCGCCGCCGCCCTCATACGGGGGGTTAAGGAATGCTCTCGTCCAACAAACACCCCTGTCCGTCTCAGATGCATCCTGCACACACTCACACACATCTGCTAGATCTGGAATGTCTCCACGTCAGATTGGGCACTCGCCTAGGTAGGCAGGATCAGATAGGGCTTCAACTCAAATATCGGTGTGCAATGCAAAACAAAAGAGAGAGGTGATGTAATATGATTTTTAAATGTTTCATTGTTTCGAATTTGGATGTCTCCTTTTCCTATGCGCTGGCGCTGTGTAGCTATCTTGGCTCTTGTAGATGGCAGTACTATACATATGCAGTCTAAAGAGGGCTAAACCCGCGGGGTATCTTCTTTTGTCAATCCCAGAGTCCATCCAAGCCCGCATCGCCCACATATGGACGATCAGCTAGCCATGGAGCCTCCGGTCTCGAGCACACCATGAGAAAGCAGAAAAAAAAAAGAAAATGGGGGAATAATAAAGATGTAGTGGTAGTAAATCCGTCATCGCCATCGCCTTGTTGTTCTGACAAGGGAAAATGAAAAAGTAGGAAAGCGTTGCTGACATATCCTTGGTGCTCTCGCTCAAACCAGGACCGCGAGGTAGCTGGTTGTGCGTAAAAGTCGACCAAACCTAGAGAATACAGGGGGTAGTTGGTACAAACAAAATGAAAGAAAATCAAAAGTCTATATGCGAATCAGTTCTTTTCCCAGTCCAGTTCCCAGATTTTTTGTAGCCCGTCCCAGAATCGCATTGCCCGAAAGGTGAAAGCAAACAGAAATGAAAAAGGAAAATAGAGATGGAAAAAAAGGAAAACAGGCGCTTGAAGCTGCATGTTTCTTTTGTGCCCTTGTCCGAGAAACCCCATGTAAAAGGAAGATTGTCGTCTCACACCCTCGAATTTGACGGTTGAGGCGGCTGCGAGCCATGTGCGTCGAGGATGGTGGTTGCGTTGTCATGCGTTGCTGCCCGACCAAAGTGCCTGCGAAGCACTCACCGACAGTTTGGAATGGATCCGCCGGGGATATTGTGCCGTCGCCGAGTGTCGTGTCGTAGGACGTCGAGGGCCCAGATGAGGTATGTGAGAGCTGACAGGAAACAAAACGTTTTTGAAAAAAAAATTCCCGTCGAAAAGGAGCCAAAGTTCAAGAAACCCAGATCCGTCTATGTTGTAACGCCATGCCCTTTTTTCTTCTCCCTGGTGCAGGTGGGATGAAATGATCCCACAAACACACAAAATAAAATCGATGCCACATCATGAAAACCGTGTAAGGCGTTCCCATTCGCCTTGCTGCTGGGAAGCAAGTTGTGGCTGCGAGCCGGTATGTTCTAGT